GGTTACCAGGGAAACACGCATGCCACCTTCAAAGACTATCACCAGCACCTCAGCTAGACCAATACACATTGCTTAAGGCCAATTGAAGGATAAACAGAAGTCCTAGCAAGCTCTGTACACAACAATACAAGGAAATAGGGTCAGGCTCAGTCAAAATGGAGACAGTCACTCTTCTTTCAAGGAGATCTGCTCAGGTGGTCCTCCACACACACTAGTTAGCTAGAGTCCTCTTGTTTCCCTGCGGGCTGTGGAGGAATTGCCCATTATCTGAATTGTTAGCTGAATAGAGCTGCAGATGAAAGTGAGCCAGATGTGGCTAGAGGCCCAGTGGATACGAAGGGTGAGGGGGGTTCAGACTGAACCTGAGCTGTGGCTCTGACTTTGCTCCTTCTGGGAAGCCACTTAGGTTCTTGTCTGCTGGTGGCATTCTGCCTTGGATCTTCTGCACTTCATCAGAACACAGTTTATTCAACAGTGGATACATTTTAATGAGTTTGTTGGATTTGAGATACAGCTTGGGTTCCTTGGAGGCCTCAAAGCCCACTAATATAGTTTTTACACTTTGAGGACAATTTCTCTTCTGCCCATGACACTCTTTCAAGATAGGCTGATTCTTCTTGGCTTCAAGGGGTGCTGCTTTTGGGCATCATGCTGGTGTCTGGGGCTTTCCTGACCCCACAGGGGTGGCATGTCCTGGGGAGAAGCCACAAGTGGCCTGAGCTTGACACACACCCTATCTTGCTTAAATCAGTATCAAAATGCAGATCTTTTGAATTTTGATCAACTGCCTTTTTCTTCTAAGTGAGGTTAACTTAATTTTCTATCCGATGGTTTCTTTTGTAGGGGCTCAGCTGTTGCAAAAATAATTGGTAATAATGTCAAGAAACTGCAGAAATTTGCCTCCACAGTCAAGATGTGGGTCTTTGAAGAAACAGTCAATGGGCGAAAATTGACAGACATCATAAATAATGACCATGAGAATGTAAAATATCTCCCTGGACACAAGCTGCCAGAGAATGTGGTAAGACTTTGGGGTGGAGCGTACATGTGCTTCATTCTGCAGGTCATGCTGGGCTGAGCACCACTTGGGGTCTGGCCAGGGAGAAGCTACTTCTTTTCCAAGTACTTGGTAGGTTTTGATTTTCTTGAGTCTGAAACAGGGTTCATACTAGTTTTCTAGGGCTACCATAACAAAGAATGGTAGAATCCACAGAGCAGATGTTTTAAACAAGAGATTTGTTTTCTTATGAACAAATCTGGAGGCTTCAACAATTCTGGAGGCTTAACATCTGAGATCCAGTTTCTTCGGAGCCTTCTCCTGGGTGGCCTCTTCTTGGTCCTCCTCTGACCTTATAACATGGAAGCCTCTTCCTGTGAGTCATGCTGCATTAGGATACCCCACTAACATCATTTAGAGTTAATGACTTCCTTTTTTCCTTCGGACTGGTGGTTGAATATAGGCCTTCACACTGAGCTATATCCACAACCCTTTTAAAAATTTTTTTTGAGACAGACTGAACTTTATCTTGTGATCTTCCCACCTCATAATTATCTCTTTAGATACAATCACATTCTGAGATACTGGGGTTCAGGACATCAACATACGAGTTTTGGAGGTATACAGCACAGTCCATAACAGGTTTCTTCCTTGGTATTCAAGATGCTGGTCACATTAAAGTGAGAACTAGTAGCCTTTGCCTGTGTGTGTTCCCCAAGGAGCTCCTAAGGTACCTTTTCTAAGAGCTTGAAACTTTGATTAGCTCCCTGGGGCAGCTAATGTACTGGTCTGTAATTAAAATCAGGGGCAAGACCTACATTATAGACAGAGATAGAGGATAATGGAAAACTGTGAGACTGACGGTTTAAAATTTAAGCTTATTAGGTCTGGGAGAGAAAAATAGGTTATTGCCTGTCCTTGTTCTTGATTTGTAGGGAAAGAAAGAAATGAGCATGAGGAATGAGAGTGTATGCCCTGCTGCATGTCTGGGTAGAATTTATGAACTTTGCTGCCAGCTTCACCTCTTGGTGGCTTTTTATAATAGACCACTTGAATATTTATTTATTTTTATTTATTACATTTATTTATTGTGTGTGTGTGTGTGTGTGTGTGTGTGGCCAGCTCAGCCCACCAGGGGGCGGGGCTGGCTGGCATGTGGTGCTGGGGGATCGAACCGAGGTCCCTGTGCTTTGCCAAGCTTGTTTCAAGTAGGTGCTTTAGACCACTGAGCCATCTCTCCAGCCCCATATAGACCACTTGAAAACAAGACAGCTGTGGCTGCCTGATTGCTGTGGGTTACCTGAGAAACTAAACTCCTTTGCTAATGAAACACCTTTTGCTGCATATGTTATGAGATGTTCATGAGCTCATCCTGTTCATGCAAAGCAGTGTTGGGTGTGGAGACAGAGGAAGATGATACTGATTTCCTCAAAGTGTCGAGCTTGGAGGCTTGTTTGTAATCGAATATATGTGGGGAAATTGGAGATACCAAAGCCTGACTTCCGAAGGCTTTTTTTTGATCTTTTTTTTTTTTTTTTTTTGAGACAGGGCCTCACTATGCAGTTCATGCTGGCCTTGTGCTCATTTTTTATAGCCCGCAGGCTGGTCTTGAACTTGCAGAGATCCTCCTGGCTCAACCTCCAAGTGCTGGGAATACAGGCATGCACCATGATGCCCAGTTCTGGGGCTACACTGTGGGGGCCCGCAGATGGCGCACCCAGGTATCCAGGGCCAAAACTGCACATCATGTGGGGCTGGGGATCAACCTCGGGTCCCGGTGTTGCCAGGTAGGTGCTTATGCCTCTGAGCTATCTCTCCGGTCCCTTATTCAATCTTTAATGGTACAGTGTTTATTAATGCCAAGCACTACATATCCTGATCATTTAATCCTATCAACAACACTCTGCAGTTGATAGTGTTGGCTTTCTTATTGTGATGATAATCATGATTGAAGAGAGAAGGAAACCAAGACTCATAAGAGGCCAGTGAACTTGCTCAGGGTCCCATAGCTAGGGCTGGTAATGGGATTTGTTTCCTGGTGGGCTCATTCCTGGGCCTGCTGAATCTGTTGGCTTCTAGATAATGACTTTTTCTTTTGAAGGAGGATGAGCCAACATTTACCCGTGGTTACATCACAAGGGTACAGTTGGTGGGGGAAGTGGGTCCCTAGGACCATGATTTTGGAAGCTATTTATGTGTCTGAAGGAAATAAAAGGGACAGCAATAAAAGACATCTAGGGTCACTGCTAATTCATCTTTGGGGAGACATTCTTCTGAGCTTCTTTTCATCAGAGTTGTACTTTCCCTTCTATAAACCATATACTTTGGTATGTCCTGTTGTGGCAGTCCCCTGTGCATCTGCCTGTCTGCCTGCACCCACTTCCACTGGGTGACCCTGCCTTCCTAGTTCTTTCCAACTTTCCAGGTACCCATGGCACCCAGCCTGATACATTTCTTACATTTGATACTCAGACAAATTTTAGAAGAAATGACTCCACTGGGTGATTCTGTAAAGCTCAGACCTGTGCTATCTGTGTGCAGGGATGGTGTGGGGGAAGTAATTGACAGTGAGTAGCCAAGGACCAGCACCACCACTGACAGCCTGACCCCCACCCCAGGTCCGTGGGTGTGGACAGAGGGAGGAGAGGTGAAAGTTGGCTCTCAGGACCCTAGTGATGTCCAAAGGCCTGTAGGCACATCTAAATGAATGAATTCATTCTCTGGAGTAGACATTTGCATGACTCCTAACTTTTTCCTGTTATGGGTAGTACTTCTGGGAACTCCCTGGATGTCCTAGGAGTAGAAGCCCAGGGCCATAGGAAATACACAGTATTTTACCCTCAGCCTCTGCTAACCACCTGAAAGGACACTTTTAAATCATTTTTGTTCATGTGTCTGTCAATACAGGATTGCTATTTATGTCTATTAATGTGTGGACTTGATGTTATGATTCTGTTCTGCTTAGAGCCCCCAAATCACTGCCAACCTGACCCTTCCTGGGGTCCACTGTATTGTGTGACACCCCCTCCTTCCCTCACAGAAAAGCATCTGTATGAATGACTTCACCACTGTCCTCAAATGCTACTGAAAACAGGGTTGGTCTGAGTTTATGATCCCCTTAGACCTGAATGGAAAGAGCACTTGTTATTTCATGTTATGCTAGATAGCAATTGTTGATCCTATTTGATAGTTGTTCATCATGAGCCTGTGTTTTGAGCCAGGTAGAAGCTTTTCTGCCTTTTTGCTCCAGCTTTAACCAGCCTCTCTATGACAACAGGATTTATGTATGACATGCTACTGGCATTGCCTCTCATCTTCGTCTTCTGAACTCTGCCAGCTTTTTAAAAACTGTTCTACTGTGATATAGTCCACAGGCTAATTATTCAGTGTGTTTTGTTTTTCTATGTTCATATAGCTGCAACCATCATCATGGTCAATTTTCAAACATTTTCATTACTCACAAAAGAAACCCTTTATGCTTTAGTAGTCACCTTCGCTCCCTGGCTCTGTGGATTTGCTTCCCCTCACCCCGCTTCTGGCACTTAAATTGAACCCATGGCCTCCTCCATGCTAGGCAGATGCTATACCGGAGTACCGTCCCTAGCATGATTGACCAGTTCTTTATTTTTTGGTACCGGGACTCAAACTCCAGGCCTCTCGCTTGCCAGGCAAGTGCTGTGCCACTGAGCTATAGCTCTAGCCCTGATTGGTCTGTGCTTGACATTTCATATAAAGAAGGTGATGTCTTCTTATATAGTTATTTCTCACTGTTGGGACAAAATACTGGATGCCCACAAGTTAAAAGAGGAAAGGTTTATTTTAGCTCAAAAGGTCTAGAGGTTTCAATCTGTAGTAGGCTGGCTCTAAGGCGGAGTGGCAGAGGTCCATGGCGTAGCAGACAGGAAGCCGCAGCCTTCCTTCTGCCTTCTCTTCTGTACAGGCTACAAGTCTGGTTGGTGCCACTCATATCATACGCAGGGTGGGTCTTTTGTGTTCAGTAAGTCCGTTCAGCCACACCCACAGCTAACTGATTCAGCCGGTGGGCTAGTTCAGTTACCACCTCCGAAAGCCCCACCTGTGAGTACTCGTGGCTCGAGCGGGCAGCTGGCTGTCGGCATAGCAGATGGCATCACACACTGTGTGGTCTCCTATGACTGGCTTCTTTCACTTAGCACGTTTTCGTTCTTGTCCATTTTGTAGCATATGGCTGAATATTATCCTACTGTGTGTGCTTCATTCTGTTTTCTGTTGCTATAACAGAATACTATAGACTGGATAATTTACAAAGAGACCTATTCCAGAGGCACAGCAGCTACGTCTGGTGAGAGCTTTTGTGCTGCGTCAGAGTAAGGAGAGGGGTCAGTAGGTGTGCCTCTGCTATACATAACCCCTTTCTACAGTACGTGGCCCACTCCCATGATACCGGCACTAATCCCCTTGGCCCATTCACCCTTCACGCGTGCATTTCTCAACCCGATCATTGTGACTATACTGCATTTTATCTGTTAGTAGGTAAGTAGTTTCCACTTTTTGACTTTTGTGAGCAATGCTGCTATGAGCCTTTGTGAACAATATTTTGTAAAAATGTATATTTTTGCTTCATTGAATATAAGCCCAGGGGTGGACTTTCTAGTGCTTAACTGTTTAAGGAACAGCAAGACTGTTTACAAAGCAGTTGTATCAGGCCGGTGAGAACAACAGATTAAAGTGCCTGCTTAGGCAAGCTTAGGCAAGTTCAGAGACTATAGTTCAATCCCTAGAACTACATGCTGCGCCAGCATCACCCCCAGGGTGGGCTGAGCTGGCTAGAATCTGGGGAGAGTGGCATATGCCTATAATCACAGCACTGGGGAGGCTGAACACAGTAAGATCACTATGAGTCCAAGCTGCGTAGTGAGACCCTGTAACAACCAAATACATTAAAAATAAATAATTAAAAATAAAACAAAGTAGTTGGATCATTTTACATTTCCATCATAGTGTGAGAGGATTCCAACTTCTCTGTGTCCTCACCATTACTTGTT